TGCAGAAGTATGTCACTTCATTCAAAGTTCTGCTTATTGATTTATAGGAAAACTGATCCAGCTAGGCATGTTATTTCAATGAATACGGAACTGCCTTTTATCTACCATTGGTGCTAGTGGTAGTAGGTGTGATAAAAAAAGCAAACTATGTATGGGACATAAAGTAGGTAATGGTCTATTTATAAATTAGTCAATAATTATTATGTGATGATGCTCTGTGCGTCATTGATATAATTATGGAAAAATTAGAATTCTCTTTGATTATTCATTTTTGAGCATTCGTAATTCAGTATTTATTATATCATCAGTATTTACTATATTACTAGTAAAGTGATAGCTTATGAATACATCAGTAATGGATACATATGCAAACATTTGTTATTGTTAAAAGGAACACAAGTAAAATTATTAATACCTTTGGTAGTTTTGCATATTTTCCTGTGCGAGTATCTCTTATAATTGCTATGTCCAGCATATCCATCTCATTATTTTGATCCACCCAGTGTAAGTAAAAACCATATTTATCCACTTTCAAAGTCACCGGCGTTGCCACCCCAGAATCCTACGATTACATAGCATTTAATATTATGAAAGATTTATTTTTGCCGCGTGACTGTTTACTATAATTGCTGCATAATGTACTTTCCGATAGTATCATGTCTTAAGTTGATTTGTATCGGGAAAAGAAAGTGACGCGAGTTATTATCATGGAATTCTAATTCCTTTTTTTTTTGGCGTTGCTAAATTAGGAGGAAGCGCTCTTTTATGCCTAAAGTGACCTTTTACATTTATACTTTTACTAGCGCTCGACATTAAAACTGTCGACTACCAGCCGTAACATTAAAAATACACACGAACCTCGTCCCACTTGATAAACTTCTCTCCAGTTTGCAGCTGCTCGGAAACTTCTACCGGCTTTATATGCATGGTGACACCTGTACTCTTATTGCTTGCCATCCTGACTCCTTGTTACCGCAAAATTTGCGCTGTTCAACACCGAATCTTCTTTATGAACGTAGAGGCAAAGCGACGAGCGGCGTGGAGAACGGCGGTAGCGAACACGCGGACGTTGACCACGAGGATGACGACGATGATGACGACGATAGCGGTGGCGACGACGACGACGGCGACGGCGACGGCGACGGTAACGACGACGACGACGACGGCGACGACTCCAACTCCAGCGGTGGTGGCGACGACAATAACAGCAACCACGACGGCGACTCCGACGGCGAGGGCTTCGACGACGGCGACGGCTTCGACGACGACGACGGCGGCGACGGCGTCGACGACGACGACGACGACGACTCCGACGGCGACGACGTCGACGACATAAGCCTCATTGAGATTTCAAGCATTAGGAGCACTTGGATTACCGTGTCTTGATCGCCGCTGCTGGTACCAAGGCGAGGGCGACTGTCGCCGTCGTCGTCGTCGCGTTGGGCGCACCTTGCGCGTATAAATACACAAGGTGTATTTTAAGGACGTGCGCTCGACGCGTCCCCGGAGAAGTCTGCGAAGGACCTCGAACGTCGAACCCAATCACTCGCGAGCCGAGTCACGGGTTCAGTCGCGACTGGACGAAGGTCATCCACGGAGACATTTCATCGACGAGGAGGAGCGTGCTGTGATGACGACTGTCCGGAGCACGAATCAGGTGTCCTTACCGAACGCGCGCGCGCGCGCGCGCACGCACACACACATACACACAGAACAGGACTCGTCGAGAAAGACGGGACGACGATTGGAAACGCGACTGGTCTCCGACTCTCCGCACGTGTGGTTGGATGTAGTAAGCACCCTCAACGCTGCTCTCACGCTCAACCGCTTGCTTACTCGTCGTTGATCCGACACGGCCGCTCGTTCCGAAGCTGCAGCAGCAGCAGCAGCAGCATCGTCATCCTCCTTCCGCGCCGAGTATCGCGCCGCACGCCAAAGACAAGCACCGACAGCACCGCGCCGTCCGCGCGCCGTCAACACCAGGAGGCGCTCTACCGGGACGACGACAGCCGCGCGCCCGCCGTTCACGCTTCAAAATTCGTTTCCACGCCGCGACAATCCATGATCCCGTGCAACGTCGAAGAGATTCGTCATTATTAATTTCTCGCGGCTTAAATTACATCCTTAAATTACAGCGATTTCGTCCGATTAACATTAATTTATTTGATTAATTCAAGTGGCAGAATTGCTGGAAAGATAATTTCTACTTGTATTTCATTGTATTGTAATTCATTGTCCCTGATCTAGTTCATGGTTCTAGTCTGCGTTCTAATTTCCTTGAAACAGCAAAAAGTTAATTTTATGCATGTCAACAAAATTATGTATAGAACACCTCTTCTTTTTAACCAAGATTATTGCATTCATCTTTTTTCGTTTTTTTCCAAAGTAGAGAGGAAAAGAGGAAGGATGAACCGTGCAAAAAATAATTCAGCTGAAAAGAACAGACTTCTATAGATATTGGACGGAATCCATAGTCCGGTCTTAATCTCAAGCAATGTCTTAAGATGCTAATACAGCTCTCTGGCCGGTATTCAAGTTCTTATATTCAAGATTGTCTTAAGTTCAGCCTTGAGGTGTCATGAACCAATCAGAGAGCCGCGTTAGCGTATTAAGACATTACTTAAGATGGTTTTGAAATAAGAACCGACTATGAATACGGGCCTTAGATTGGTTCATGCACTAGCTTAAGACCATCTCGAATCTTGAGCAACGTTTATGGATTCCGTTCATTATTTGACAAGTTGTTCAAGAGTTCATCTCGGAGTCACTCTGAGCCTCTCTCGAAAACTGATCGAATCGGCTTTTTATTTCTTAATTTCTTAATTTTAGTTAAAATATGCTAAATGTGGTTTATAGTCTTAATTATGAAATTTAAAAAAAGATTTTTTTCTCTTTCTGAGAAAAAAATTTTTCAAAATTAAACCCATCTAACATTAATCATTCCAGCAATCATTGCAGCAGCATTGCAACATTCTAGCAATATCTTAGTAAACAAGAAACATTTTGGAACATTTCAGTAACATTGCAACAATTGTTACAATGTTGTAACGTTGTTGCAATGTTACAAAATGTTTCTTCTTTATTAGGATTGCAATAACATTGCAGTAATATTACTGCAAGCTTTTATATGCTGTATGAGAAGCGACTGTGATTCTTTTCTCCGCTTTTTAAATTGCAGGTGCGTTTCTATATTTAAAAAAGAAATCTCTTTCTCCGCTTTCATCTTCTGGAATTTTTTCAATCTTTCCATGTAAAAGGACACAATTATAGTATCGCTCTCTCGTGTCTCTTCCACTCTTCTCGCACAAAGTGATTGCGGCGAGAAGACACGAAAGGCTATGTACACGAGAAAGGCGGTGAAAGAGATTGTCCAACGAGCGTTAACGAGGGCGCGAAGAGC